GACAACCACTGGATAAATTATGCTGTACAATGCAGTCTGATTAACGTGGCCGCCTAAAAGTTGCTCTCAACATTTCATCACACACGTTTATAATTAATCGTACAGTTACAAAGGGCTAGACGTCGTTTTGCGGCTCCATGGCCGGGTTTTAATTGTGTGCCTCTAAAAAAATACTTCAGTGTTACTGTGTTCTATTAGTATATATACATTGTGAAACCGTGAACATGAGGATGTCCTGATTGAATGCTTTCGTTAGAAGTTGGCCAGACGGCTATTTTTTTGTTTGTTGCTGTATGGCAGGATATTTGAAAGCATATATAATGAAATATTTCTACATATGAAAATTAGTAAACCATTGGTAGGTTTGTCGTAGTCACAGTCTCTCCTACATCGCGAAATATTTCCTGTTCAATGTAGTTAGTGACACGTACACGGGCTAGATTCCTGATATCTTCATAAAAAGCGTGTTTAATTTCGCTTTTACAATGGGAAAATAATGCTTTTGTTAGACGTTGAAGGTACATGTTTGTGTTTGATGCAGTGCTTAAGACGCAATCAACGGTCAGTAGGCTCATGACAGAAAGCAAATATATCCTCTCAGAATTACAGTGTTATAATGATAGTGTTCAATTTACCAAAAATATTTTGAGACGTACATACTATGGTGTCCTATTTTCATTAGGTTTTGAATTGCTTGTGCTGCAATGCCGATGAGTCCGTTCGAGAGTGTGACGCCTATGCACTCCAAGACCCATACCTGTCACTAGTATCCAGCAAACACATAACGTTAATTTAACCAAAAAAAAAAAAACGTTATGGCCACGTTATGGTAACGTTATAAAACGTTCTGTGTTTGCCAGGTAGATACAGTGTAGGCGCCCTCATAAATAACGACACACAAAACTAAGCAGAGTTGGAAAACGTGACACGAACCAACTGGAGAAAGATGTCTGCCGCCTGCAGGAGGTCACAGAGCGGCCCTCAGTAGAAAAGAAGATGAATTTTAATCGAAGAGCTCAATATTGAATATACATAAATCGTATTATACGTATTATATCCCATCCCCGTGGAGTGTATTACATAATGCATTCGGTATTATGTGTGATCATGTTTCTCGTAAATTCTAAATCTTAATCAAAATCCAATGTACCCAGGACTCCCAGAGGCATACTTTTCGGCGTATTCGGCAGTGCTAATTTCATTGGGATAATAACAGACTTGGTATGACGTTACATTCCTGTTGGCTATGAGCAACACATTCTGCTTACGGTCAATGTAATTAATCTTTAAGGGTCATCGTGTGAACTTTGTGGTTACAGAACTGCGCCCCTTAGGTAGGAATACAGTGGTACGGATTTATGCTCCTGAACCTAATCATTTTACAAAGCGATCCGATTTAAATCATATTCAGGTTAATAAGAGGGACTGTACTTTATTGTCTACTGTATCACACAAAAGCATTTCGTTAGAAGAATGGATCTCCTGGAGTATTTGTACACATTTTCGCGTTATCAACGATCACTAAGTAATAGAATTTGATACTTCCGATTATCAAATTTTCTTGAAATTCATGTCGTTGTGCTTCTGTATGGGCAACCGGTTCGTCAATTTTATTTATATAATGAAAATGACTTAGTCACAATATTTTTAATATTCCATAATGAGCGCTATGACGCATACAACTCTATTCCTACTGCGATTGACAACAACGATAGAAATATGAACTGGATTTATTTATTACATCTTCCAATATCAATATGAAGACCCTGAGAAGATGACTGTCAAATGCTCTTATAAGTGTTAATTAACCAAAATCCATTTATCAAAAACAATAAATAACAAACAATTGTTATGTCAATCTAAAACAATTATTTCGAAAATGTCTGTCTGATTCAACAACAAAAAATGTCAAATAACAACTAAAAGAGATTGAGAGGGAGGATAACATAGATAACTTGTTTGATATATAAATCCATCCAGTGCGATTTGCAACTTAATTGACATACAGTATATTTGATTTACATAGTTATGATTTGACAAAGCATGATTGTGATAATTGACTGATGAAACTGATTCCACAGATAAGAAACTAAATTACAAAAAAAAAAACAAAAAAAAAAAAACAGTGTACTTACGATACAAATATACAACAAGTCAGTGAGTACAGTAGGTAATCGATCACAAATTGACGCACAATTGGCAGAGAGAGAGAGAGAGAGAGAGAGAGAGGGGGGGCTTACAGTGCTGTGTACATGGACATGATATTTAAATGAGACACCTCTGATGGGAATAATTTTGGTTTTTTATCTGAATACGAAACAATATTTTTGCCTCCACTTAGACTGTCATCTGTGAAGCCTTTTGGTACATTTATCGGCCTCGAACGAGGACCATTCTCTTCTAAACTCACTAAAGATGAGGCTCGTCGCATTTTACAATTGTGTTCCTGTGACGATTTCTTAATGGTTTTATTACAGGAAATATCACCTTTTATATCAGTGTTATTATCTGTCACTGTTTCTCTCTGTTTGGTCCAGTTCAAAATGNCGTTATGGCCACGTTATGGTAACGTTATAAAACGTTCTGTGTTTGCCAGGTAGATACAGTGTAGGCGCCCTCATAAATAACGACACACAAAACTAAGCAGAGTTGGAAAACGTGACACGAACCAACTGGAGAAAGATGTCTGCCGCCTGCAGGAGGTCACAGAGCGGCCCTCAGTAGAAAAGAAGATGAATTTTTAATCGAAGAGCTCAATATTGAATATACATAAATCGTATTATACGTATTATATCCCATCCCCGTGGAGTGTATTACATAATGCATTCGGTATTATGTGTGATCATGTTTCTCGTAAATTCTAAATCTTAATCAAAATCCAATGTACCCAGGACTCCCAGAGGCATACTTTTCGGCGTATTCGGCAGTGCTAATTTCATTGGGATAATAACAGACTTGGTATGACGTTACATTCCTGTTGGCTATGAGCAACACATTCTGCTTACGGTCAATGTAATTAATCTTTAAGGGTCATCGTGTGAACTTTGTGGTTACAGAACTGCGCCCCTTAGGTAGGAATACAGTGGTACGGATTTATGCTCCTGAACCTAATCATTTTACAAAGCGATCCGATTTAAATCATATTCAGGTTAATAAGAGGGACTGTACTTTATTGTCTACTGTATCACACAAAAGCATTTCGTTAGAAGAATGGATCTCCTGGAGTATTTGTACACATTTTTCGCGTTATCAACGATCACTAAGTAATAGAATTTGATACTTCCGATTATCAAATTTTCTTGAAATTCATGTCGTTGTGCTTCTGTATGGGCAACCGGTTCGTCAATTTTATTTATATAATGAAAATGACTTAGTCACAATATTTTTAATATTCCATAATGAGCGCTATGACGCATACAACTCTATTCCTACTGCGATTGACAACAACGATAGAAATATGAACTGGATTTATTTATTACATCTTCCAATATCAATATGAAGACCCTGAGAAGATGACTGTCAAATGCTCTTATAAGTGTTAATTAACCAAAATCCATTTATCAAAAACAATAAATAACAAACAATTGTTATGTCAATCTAAAACAATTATTTCGAAAATGTCTGTCTGATTCAACAACAAAAAATGTCAAATAACAACTAAAAGAGATTGAGAGGGAGGATAACATAGATAACTTGTTTGATATATAAATCCATCCAGTGCGATTTGCAACTTAATTGACATACAGTATATTTGATTTACATAATTATGATTTGACAAAGCATGATTGTGATAATTGACTGATGAAACTGATTCCACAGATAAGAAACTAAATTACAAAAAAAAAAAAAAAAAAAAAAAAAAAGTGTACTTACGATACAAATATACAACAAGTCAGTGAGTACAGTAGGTAATCGATCACAAATTGACGCACAATTGGCAGAGAGAGAGAGAGAGAGAGAGAGAGAGGGGGGGCTTACAGTGCTGTGTACATGGACATGATATTTAAATGAGACACCTCTGATGGGAATAATTTTGGTTTTTTATCTGAATACGAAACAATATTTTTGCCTCCACTTAGACTGTCATCTGTGAAGCCTTTTGGTACATTTATCGGCCTCGAACGAGGACCATTCTCTTCTAAACTCACTAAAGATGAGGCTCGTCGCATTTTACAATTGTGTTCCTGTGACGATTTCTTAATGGTTTTATTACAGGAAATATCACCTTTTATATCAGTGTTATTATCTGTCACTGTTTCTCTCTGTTTGGTCCAGTTCAAAATGTCGTTGTATTTTCTACGATATTTCTTTGGGGGATTGTCAACAGCATTCAAGTTAAAGGGATAGCTAAGAGGCTTAGGCATCTTGGCACAGGCAGGAGTTTTTGTAGGAATGTCA